ATTTTATTTTATTTTTATTTTAACATCATTAAATTCTATAAAGTTTCTGTCGTTATCGGATTGGGATGCAGTTTATTGTGAAAACGTTACACGTAAACGTTAATTTCAATGTTTAATAATGTATAATGACAGTACACATTATCTAATAAATGTAATTTACTACTCTTATTGTAACACGCTTTTTTAATTTTTTTGATATTTTAATGTAAATATTTTTAACCTTTTTTCTAATAAAATATTGTTTTGTAGTAAATTTTAATAGATTAATAAACTAAATTCACTTAAAAAATATGTAATCGAAAAATAATATATACTTCTGTAAGGGTGGGCCGAGGGCCCCCAAATTTCTAAATCCGGCCCTGATGCTATCTAAGTATATGGTAGACCAATATTTTATTTTTAAAAATATGTCATAGTTTAGCTCCTCCATTTCATTGGCACCTGAGGAAAATGCCTCTTCAGTCGCCTCACCCTTACTACGCCTCTAAATATTATATCTAGTTGTCTATTGACCAGAAAAATTTGATTAAAAAGCTAAAATTCTATCAACAATATAACTACAGGACTGTGTTGGGGGGGGGGGCAAAGAGGCATTTGTACCTGGGCGCCACAGCTTGGTAAAATCAAGGAGCTTGATAAACCGCTGTTGGTGACTTCTCCTCAACTTATATTAGTGCCACTGGGCGCTAAAAAGATTAATACGGCCCTGTATAACTATCATTAAAATAACTAATCCTAAAAACGAAGTTTTTTTAACTAACTGAAAAAATTACAGAAATGGTTACTACCGTTTTCTCCTGCAACCTTCAGTTATTATAAAATAATTATTATGTCATAATATATACTCATATAATAATAATGTACTATACATTTTAATATTGTCTCAATATTGTTTCTCTACTATACTAAAATTTGCAAAAAAAGTTATTTTTCACGAGAGTGGGACTGAGAAACGTTTTTTTTTTATCTATCAATTGAATTCTCCCGAAAAACAGATGYTGTCCAATTTTCAGAAATGGCCATACGATTGCACACGAATCGCGTTCTAAATATTTTTGTGTAGACAATTTTGTAGAATTTAATTGGATGGGACTGGAATAACGTAAGTGTTAGTCTCGTCGTGATTTTCTTGTCGTATATAGAATACTATTCTACTCGTTAGCCAATCAAAATAAAATATGTTATTCCTTTATAGTTTTAAACGGCCGTTTCCTGCATACAAACTTTAATTTTTATACCCATAACTATTTTAATTCGTTATTTTATATAAATAATGCTAGTTGTAATTTATTTACATAGACGACGAGTTTCCGTATAAATTGGCTATCTCAATTAATATATTTAAAGTAACATAAAAACAAAAAATATTTAACTTAAAATTATAACTTTTGAAAAACTCGTAACAGTTGTACGATTAACTAAATTCAGATGAAATTTGGAAAACGCGTTAATTTTGAAAAAGTTGTTGACGGTGACTAAATGCGTGGCGACGCACCCTCTGTACAGCGAACTTTAACTTGCAAATCTTAGCAGATATTTCTCATCATATTCCGGTGTTGGATCGTGGAGATTAATGTTAGATTTGAACTTACTGTTTGGGTATAGCTAGATAATATTATATACCTATATCTAAAGTCCAGCGTTACAGGTCGTGTTTTTGTTACTTTATACTCTCTTATCTTAGCGTTGAAATTATTGCTTCGCTCGAGAATACCTACTATATTTTTATGTATTATATTATATATCACAATTAAATTACCTTGCCTAAACGTGATATGTTGTGCTCAGTTTGTATTGATGAAGTTACTAATGGTGATGATTTAAAATGTCTCGTGTGCAAAAAAAATCATAACGATCGATTCAGTTTTTTCCGAGAACACTAACTCATAGGTTTTCATTTTCGCATTTACTTAAGATAATTATTATTTTTCATAATATGATAATATACTCATATATTATAATAATATGTATTATAAATTTAAATATTGTCTCGATATTATTTCTCCACAACTCATCTCAAATTTGTAAAAAAGATTTTTTTTTTTTAAACCTTTCACGTGGAGCTAAAGCTGGGAAACGTTTCTCTCACCCATCGACTGAATTCTTCCGGCAAACAGACGCTGTCCAAATTTCAGAAATGGCCATACGAAAAAATATAAATATTT